TACATGAATGGGGAGTGAAGTGGGGCTGTTGACAGACACAAGAAACAGCTGACCCTGACCCCAATGAAGCCAGAAACCACTAGCCACACTGGTTGTTGCCCGGAAGTGCTATGAAGTGGGAGTCCACAGTCCCATGGTGCTGAGTGCTGGTGATGCCGGCTTCTTGGGGACGGGTGAAGTTCCCTGTTCCAAATCCTTTGCCGAAGGAGTCTTGCTTTCCCCAGGAAGGGCGAACCTCTCCAACGGTGTCCCACTCCTTGCCCACCCTTCTCCTCATTGTCGGTCCCTCCCACCCCTTCTTCTGAGTCTCCTCTTGCCAAAACAAACCTTCAAACCCAGTGGGTTTCTCATCCCTCCTCCAGGCAGCCCAGCTCCCTGATGCTCACCTTGACCCACACCTGCCACTCACCACCTGCAGGAGGATGGCTTGAAGCTCTATCCCAACCCCTCCCCTTGGCATCTCCCCGGGGCCTCCTGTCCCTCAGGTCCTCTGGCTCAGCATCTTCTCCCAGACCTGTTCCCACCCAAGCCAGAGACCCAAATACCCTGCTAGCTCTTCTCCTCCTCTTACCAGCTCTGGGCCTTCCCACTATCCCCACATCCCCTTTTCCTGGACCAGACCATCGGTCTCCCACCTCCTCCACAAGCCACTTAGGGCCCCCTGTTATGACCTTCAACTTGAGCCGCCCCTCCCACACTTAACACACACACACACACACACTCCCTGTTACCCTTGGGATAAACTCCCAGCTTCTCAGGCTGACCTGGGACACTCTGTACCATCTCCTCCTACCCAGTACCTCCTCCCACCTGCTCACACACACCCCTCCCCTTCAGCTCCAACAAATTCCCTAATCTGGGTTCTTCCCACCTCTGGACCTTGGCCTAGGCAGTGGTTCTCCCCACAGGGAATTTCCTCCCCCAGAAAAAGTTCATTCCTTCTACAAGGCACAGCCCCAAAGTCAACCAGCAGCCCCCAGGCTCCTGCCCCACCCCCAGGACATAGATACCCTGATCTTGGGAGATATTGGATATGTATTATTTAAACACTGTCTCTGGCTGGAAGAAATGGTGTGGCCTTAAGGGGTCCCCAGGGTGAGTGGGGGAGGGAGATTGAGTTGAATGCCTCCCTTGTCTTAAAGGGGTCAGTGCCAGGGCTGAGGGAGGAACCCAGGGCTAAAGGGACCCAGAGCTAGCAGCCTGGTGAACCAGAGGCAGCTTCCTGGAGGAG